ACTTGCTGGGGCCAGCAGGTGGTATGGTGGTTAAGGGCGCTGGACTCCTGACCATGGTTTGAGTCCTGGACCTGGCGGCTTCCTGGCTCACTCTGTCCCTCTCTGGTCAATCAAAATAATAATAAATAAAGTTAAATAAAATATTTCTTATCAAAAAGAATGACTTACAAGCACTGGCCAGATTCAGAGTCCAGGCTCTGTCATGGTTTTTCTCTGCCCTTAACTCATTTTTAGATGCCTCAAGCTTTTGTGTAGTGCATTATTACTTTCCATCAGATCATGTATTTTGCCATTTCGTTGGGGAATGATCACACCACAGTCCCTTCTCCTCCATCTTTCCCTCCTTTCAGGATTTTGGACACACACACATGCACCTGGCATGTTTCTCAAGCTGCATGGCTGGCCATGTTGGATCTGGCCACCTTACCACATGCCACAGATTGGCCCAGAAATCCATTTTTTACAATATCCCATTACCAGTGGTCTGACACTGAGTAATAACAGTGATATTGAAGAATTCTCACACAAGGCAGTTACAGGTAACATAAGATCACTGGTCATATCTGTTATGTGACTTCAGCATGATTTAGGAGCATCGTGGGCTTGGGGTAAAGTTCATCTTTAAGCAATGCCGGTGTACCTCCAAGAGGACTGCTATTTTGGGTTGAAGCATAAGAAATTGCTAATAGGGCTGGCCTGTGGTGTGGTGGCTAAAATGGCTGGATCCTACATGACTGACCTTGTGATTCAAGTCTCAGACCTGGCAGCTTGAAGGACACAGCAGGCACATCTACAAATGTGCTTGAAATCCTAAAAGGAGAGATAGAGAAGAAGGTGTTACTGTGTAGCCTTCCCCCATAGGGGTGGTTTTCACTTTCGCTCTATCTCCATCTCCCTCAGAGGGCACATATGCCCTCTGGCAAATTACAAGAAAAAGATAAAATTTAATTAAAAAATAAATACATGGAAAGAAATTGCTAATATTTTGCCTATTTTCCAACTAGGAAAGCAGCAGTTCATATGATTTTTTTTGAAAGTAATTATTTATTTAATTTTATTTATTCATTTATTTTTAATTTGACCAGAGAGAGAGAGAGAAAGCAAGCCACCAAGTCCAGGACTTGAACCATGGTTGGCCGTCTGGGAGTGTCCATCCAGCACCTTAGCCACCATGCCACCTGCTGGTCCTAGCAGTTCCTATGATTTTAACTGTATAGACAGATAAACACACGTGTGTGTGTGTATATGTGTGTGTTTAATTGCCAGAGGGCACATGTATTCACCAGAGAGAAACAGAGAAAATACCCCCAGTGGGGCATGGTCATACCCAAATTCCTTTTTTCATCCTGTCAGGATTTGGGTTACACACCCACACATACTCAGCATGGTTTTTTTTTTTTAGGGAGTTTTTTACTGTAGGGTGTGTGCACTAGCTAGAGAGAAAGCATCCCCTGGGGGATGGCCATAGTGCCGTCCCATCTCCTCTCTCCTTTAGGGATTTTGGGCACACATGTACTTGTACTCAGCGTAAGTTTTAAGCTGCCAGGTTCGGAACTCTAACCTCAGTCAATCATGTGAGTCTAGTGTCCCCATCACCATGCCACTTGCTGACCCCACTTGGCATGATTTTCAAGTTGCCAGGGCCAGGATTCGAACTGGGGTTGGCCATATGTTATCTGGCTCCCTTAACCACTGCCCACAGGGTAGCTTTTTTTTTTTTTTTTTTTTTAGTGAATGATAAATATTTGTATAAACTAGATATCACGCTGTTTTCTGGCTAATTAATTCGGAGGCTGACAGTTAATAGTCTCTGCTTTTCCTGTTTAGGAAACAATGGAGGACATAGATAAGAATGCTGATGGTTTCATTGATCTAGAAGAGTATATCGGTAAGTTTCTGTTTCTAATATTTTTCTTAGAAGAAGCCCTGAAAATATATTCACCTATATAGTTTACCCATATGTCAACTCATCCTAGATTGTTAAGCCTGATTAGAATGATAAATTGAGGGTGGTGGTAAAGTATCTGTACTGTCCAGTTAAAATGTAACTATAAGCCACATAATGTAGTTCTAATTTCTCTATTGATTGCATTAAACACTAAAAAGAAACAGATGAAATTAATCTCAGTGGTATATTTTCTATAACCTAAGATTCCAAAATACTGTCATTTCCATTTGTTGTTGATACAAATTATTGAGTTTTTAGAAACTCAGTTTGGACCGTCCGTATTCCAGGTTCTTGGTAAGCACATGTGGCCAGGGGCTGGACAGCACCAATAGTGTCTCTCACAAGCCTTAACCTGATGGTGAAGAGTTGCAGGGAGCTCAGAGTGGCATTAGGAAACCCAGGAGAAGGACGTAGGAGTAGATTAAAATTAGAGACGAGCAGGCGAATAGGCAGCCAGGAGTTGCAGGTCCCTTAAGCCTTTTCTTTTCTTGTGTTCTGTTCTTATTTTCTGTCTGGTTCTCTGACTAGTTGCTTTGGTGTTTTGTTTGTTTGTTTTGTTTTATTTGCTATAGGGTGTGTGCTTTCACCAGAAAGAGACAAGAGAGGGAAAGTGAGAAATACCCCCTGGGAGGGATGACCACACTGCCGTCCCCTTTCCTCCATTCTCCTAATAGGCTTTTGAGCATGGACCCAGCCTGGAAAGAGATGGAGAGTCTTCAGACAGTTACAAAAGGCTTCGTTACAAATATTCCATTTTGAAAGATAACAAATATTGGGGCCAGCAGGTGGCATGGTGGTTAAGGGCGCTGGACTCCCACATGGCTGACTGCAGTTTGAGTCCCAGACGTGGAGGCTTGCTTTCTCACTTTCTCTCTCTCACTCTGTCTCTCTTTGGTCAAATTAAATAAATGAATAAAGTTAAATAAAATAATTCTTAAAGATATTAAATACCTTTATATTTCATGTTCTTATTTTTACTTACAATAACTTATCCTACTACACAGTCGGTTTTGTATTCAGATAAGCCACTGTGTTTCGCCTCTGACCTTTATCTGAAATATTTATTTTAAGCCTTAGAAGTAGACTTGAGCTCTGCCTCTGTCACTTGTCATTAAACTGCATTGAACAAGTCACTCCTGTGCTCTTGGCCACTGAGTAGTTACACCTGCTATTTATATTCTAGAGTTATTCCAGTTGAATAATTTACCAGCCTTTTCTCCTAAGACTCAGTAATTTACTTTGAACTTTTTAGAGAAAGAGGAACAAACAGTAGAAGGTATGGATTTTTTGTTTTTCAAAATGATTGATTTTTAGTGGCGTTCATCAGGACAGTGGATTAATGCCTTGGTGCGTTTATTGAGTTCCAGGCGACTTTTATAGAATTTTCTGCTTTTAAATATTTTCATTCTTGGCTTGCCATTTTATCACCATTGCTGAAACTGAGGAATTCATTTAAACTCCTGAGGAGAGGAGTTTTTTGTAACTGTTAAGTGCCTGCCATCGCTTCCCAAGCATTGAGGCCAAATAAGGAGATAACAATATTTCCGTGTCCTCCACATCATACAGATTCAAGGGACAGAGGAATTACATCTGGAAACTACCAGAACTGTCATGCACAGCATGCATGCTGTTTTCTTTTGCAACTCAGTAACTTTTGCAGAACCTTTACATCTAGGATGCTGTGCATCATGAACATAAGATTCTCCTGAACAATATCTTCCAGTTTCTAGGGCTGTGCCAGTTCCTTGCCCTGTTGAGGAGATAGATTATACATTTCTTTGTCTGTTACATTTAGCACTAATGAGAAGCCCCCAGAGTTATGCTGTTTGTTTATTTTTATTTATTTGTTTTTAAAGAATTATTAATTTTATTTATTCATTCGTTTATTTTAATTTGACCAGTGAGAGATACAGAGAGAGAGAGAAAGTAAGAAAGCAAGCCACCAGGTCCCGAACTTGAACCGTAGTCAGCCATGTGGGAGGGCGTCTAGAACCGTGGTCAGCCATGTGGGGGCGTCTAGTGTCTTCACCACCACACCACCTGCTAGTCCCTTTTTTTTTTTTTTTTTTTTAAGTTTGAGTTTTGTTTTATTTTTGCTTTTACCATTGGGTACGTATGCTCACCAGAAAGAGACAGATAGAGACAGAGGAAAAGTGAAAATTCAGCCCCCGGAGGGTAGCCACACTGCAGTCCCTTATCCATTCTCCTGCCAGGATTCTGGGGACACACACACATGCACCTGGCATGTCTTTTAATCTGCTAGGTCTAGGACCCGCCTTTTTTTTTTGGACAAATTTTTGCTGTAGGGCACTTGTACTCGCCAGAAAGACAGAGACAAACAGATAGAAAGCGAGAAATCACTCCCTAGGGGAGAATGGCCACACCACAATCCCTTCTCCATTCTCTTCTTGGGATCTTGGGCACGCACGCACACGTGCCTGACATGAGTTTAAGCCACCGGGTCCGGGACTCAAACTGTGGTCAACCATGTGGGAGTCCAGCGACGTAGCCATTACGCCAACTGCTGGTCCATGTCTAGGACTCTTAACTATGCGGTTGACCATGTGAGATCCAGCCGCTTACTGGCCCTATATACATTTCTAAGAACTTTTTAAAGATAGACTTAACCAAAATATTAATTCCTTAATGTCATTAAATATCAATAGTTAGGATTTTTCTAAAAAGAGGTTCAAATAGCACTGTGTTTTGCTGTATTCATTTGGTTTAAAATAGCACTTATATATTCTAGCTTCTATTAAAACTCTGTCTTTTAAACATACATGTGTTTCCTCTCTAATTCAGAACTTTCCAGTCTGTACTGTGACTAAGTCTCCCCAACCTCCAGGACAGTGAGGGCAGGGCCCTGGCCCAGTGGACCGCACATAAACTGCATTTTCCTTATGTGCTATAGCCTGGGGGGAATGAACAAGCCCTGCTCTGAGGAACTTCTCCTTTAAGGCAGGGGAGTAGCTCTACCCTCAGTCTTTAAATTCATGAAAACGATAGTGCTAACTAACTGCCTTTGCTCAGAACTGGTCAAGCTTCTCTCTGGTGGGCTCCCATGCCGTACATGAGAGGTGGGTATGCTTACTTAGATGTAGTGTAACTCAGGAGTCTTCAGACTTGTTTGCTCGTACAATTTCTTCAGGAAGTTTGACAGACAACATTCCCTTATGTGTTTATCTAATTAGAAGTTTAAACAGTTAAACAGAATAATCTCTGTTGACTATAAATATTGACATGTCTAATGTACTTTCATTCTCAAATAAATCTATAAAGTTTAAATACCGTACCAACTTCTTACCTACCATTGGAAGTCCATTAGATTCGCTTTCAGTGTTGTGTATGTGTTTTTTTGTTTTTGTTTGTTTGTTTTTGAGAGAGATTTTTATTGTAGGGTGTGTGCACTCACTAGAGAGACAGAAAGAAACAAAGTGAGAAATCATCGCCTGAGGGGAGGAGGGCCATGTCATAGTCCCTTCTCCTTCCTTTTTTTTTTTTTTTTGGAGAGGTTTTTGCTATAGGGTGCGCGCGCTCGCCAGAAAGACAGAGAGATAGAAAGCGAGAAATCACCCCCCAGGGAGAATGACCACACCACAATCCCTTCTCCTCTCGGGTTCTTGGGCACACAGGCACACGTGCCTGGTGTAAGTTTTAAGCTGCCGGGTCCAGGACGCGAACCACAGTCAACTACATAGGAGTTCAGCAACATAGCCATTACACTAACTGCTGGTCCTTCATTCTTCTCTAGGGATTTTGGGCAACCACCCACACACCCAGTCTGAGTTTAAGCTGCCAGGTCCAGGGCTTAAACTACATGGGAGTCCAGTAGCATAACCATTACACTATCTGCTGGTCCCATTGTTTTTTTCTTTTTTGAGAGAGGTTTTTTTTTGGAGAGGTTTTTGCTATAGGGCACGTGCGCTCGCCAGACAGACAGAGACACAGAGAGACAGAAAGTAAGAAATCACCCCCCAGAGGGGACGGCCACGCCACAATCCCTTCTCCTCCATTCTCCTCTTGGGATCTTGGGCACGCACACACACATGCCCGGCGTGAGTTTTAAGCCACTGGGTCCGGGATCTGTGGTCGAGTCGACTACGTGGGAGTCCAGCAACATAGCCATTACGCTAACTGCTGGTCCCAAGAGAGATTTTTTGCTGTAGGGCACATGTATTCACTGGAGAGTCAGAGAGACAGAAAGTGAGAAGTCACCCCCCCCAGGAGGGTATGGCCATGCTGCATTCCCTTCTCTGTTCTCCTCTCAGGACTTTGGGCCCACACATACCCAGCATGAGTTTCAAGCCACCAGGTTCGGGACTGGAACTGCAGTCGACCATACAAGAGTCTAGCAACGTAACCAATATACCGTTTGCCGGTCCTCTGGGGTTTTTTTTGTTTGTTTTTTAAAGCAAAGAATTGAAAACTTCTTGACATGCAAAATAATTTTTTACCCATTTTCCCAGACATCTACATTCTCAGAACTGACATTATTTCTCATTGTCCTTTTTTTTTTTTTTTTTAATCACATCAGAGCTTTGTACATTCTATTAGGGTTCAAGATAGATGAGAATATGCCTTCTTTTTTTAAGAATTATTTTATCTAACTTTATTTATTTATTTTCATTTGACCAGAGAGGGACAGTGAGAGAGAGAGAAAGAGGGAAAGTGAGAAAGAAAGCTGCCATGTCTGAGACTCGAGCCGCAGTCAGCCATGTGGGAGTCCAGCATCCTTACCACCTTGCCACCTGCCAGCCCCAGAGGATATGCCTTTCTTATACAAAGTGGGAGAAGAATAGTGTGAAAGTGGACATAGGAAAGAAACCAAGATAGTACATTCTTGCACAGGTTTGTGTTTAGGAAGAACCACGTAGGGATGTTGAGGGTCTGGAATTTGTTTCCCTTGTGACTGTTCTTTCCCAGTGCATATCCTGGCAGTATCCCTGTTTCCCAGAGCAAGCTCGCCCTGACCACGGCCCTGGTGTAATGGGATCTAGACAGTAATCAGTTGGTAGGCAGTTCTGGCTTATAGCATACACCTCTTTTCCTTGAGAATTTAAAACTGCACCTTTCTAAACCAGTGGTGCATTTTAATTAGCTTCCTTGGCAGAAAGTAGAGAACAACTGGTTTTTGCCTGTTATTTCCTTTTATTTGTGCATTATTTCCTCTTATTTCTGCACTCTGTACCAACTATACAGGACTCTACATTTATGTCACTCAAAAATCAACAGCTGGAAATGCTTTGTTGCAAGAGCAGCACGTAAGCCTCAGCAAATACCTTGCTCTCTAAGGTCTCGCTGACCTAATATACTGTGTAACTGAACTGTATACTACTAGGTTCCAAACATCGAGGAGCGAGGAAGGCTGGGTCAGATTAGCATGGGGCAGACCCTGGAAAAAGACCAACCTTCTGTGTGTTTCTGTGCACACAGGTGACATGTACAGCCATGATGGAAATGCTGATGAGCCAGAATGGGTAAAGACGGAGCGAGAGCAGTTTGTTGAGTTTCGAGATAAGAACCGTGATGGAAAGATGGATAAGGAAGAGACCAAAGACTGGATCCTCCCCTCAGACTACGATCATGCAGAGGCAGAAGCCAGGCACCTTGTCTATGAATCAGACCAAAACAAGGTAGGTCTGGCCAGGCCCGAACAATCTAGCATTGACTGAAATGTTTCCAGGGGATTGCCTAAAAAAATCCTATTCAGGTACATAGGGAATTTAAGGTCTTAATTAATCTGAAGTCTGCTAAGGATCTAAATCTGGTGGTTAAAAACTTTCAGGGCAGCTCCGTGCTCTCATTTTAGAAATCCCTTTGCCAGTGCTCCTCGCGGTAGGGGACTTGGGCTTCAGAGCCTCTGTATGTAGCCTATGCCAGGGGCACATCGTCAGTCATCTTTGGATCTCCTGGACATTTCTTTGTTATTCCTTTTGTTCTTTTACCTGTAGCAAAGTCATTCTGCCTATTCAAAGTTGTTTTTTTATTCCTTCTTAAGTCAAATATCTTTTTTAAAAATAAGGTCTTTTGTAGTGAGTTGTAAAAATCAGTTTTCCTCTGGAGCCTGTTAAAATTGCCCTGATCGGTTATTTGAGGAATTTAGTTCATTAAGTGATGCTATCACCAAGCCCTGTCACCTTTTTTTGACCCTTAGATACTTTGCTTAGAATAATTTGAAAATCAATCTAAAGATGAGATTCTTCATACCTGGGGGTTTTTTTGATTGCCGAAGGGCATTTGTACTCACCAGGAGAAAGCATCCCCCCGGTGGGATGTGATCACACTGCAGTTCCCTCACCTTCGTTTCTCTGTCCCGTCGGGACTGGGACATACACATGTACCCAGCGTGGTTTTTAAGCTTCTGGCACCAAGATTTGAACCATGGTCAGCCATGTGGATCAAACTCCCTTAACCACTAGTTACAGGACCAGCCCACTTTATAGCTTTTTTAGGGGTTGGTCTGTTTTGAGTTCTTGCTCGGAGTCACTTCAGTAACCAGGTGCTATGTTCGGAACTATGTGAGAAAAAGAAAATTGTGTGGGCCTCCCTTGGGAGTCTAGTGTTATTTGAAATGAGAGTCTGAACCTTCAGGTCGGTTATGTCTGTGAACTGGTTGGTGGCCAGAACGGAGAGGAGGTACAGACGAGGCTGGGTTTTGGCAGTTTTTGTTCTGTTAGACAGTGACTTCATTCACTTTAAAGTATTATTTGCCCTCTTATTCTGGACTATTTCTTCACCCATATCTTGAAAGTGTCTCATACTTTGCTCTAAAGGGAAAGTTTTCACCTTAAGAAGTAAAGCCTGTATCTCTAGTATTGAAGCACCAAGCTGTATTATTTCCATTCTTCTACTTTCAACTTTCTTGATAACAGAAATATATTAATTGCCATTTTCTTCTCTGTTGGTGTGGACAGGGGGAGGGGGGAGTTTACTTTATATTTACTTCACATTTACTTTAGCAGGGATTATGATTTTACAGCCCGATTAAGCCCGACTCCTCTGTGGCAATGTTTCTGAACCCGGAATGGGCAATATACCTGCTGTTCTCTCTCATTTCAGGATGGCAAGCTTACAAAGGAGGAGATTGTTGACAAGTATGATCTGTTTGTTGGCAGCCAGGCCACAGATTTTGGGGAGGCCCTAGTACGGCATGATGAATTCTGAGCTGCAGACAGAGGAACCCGCATTTCTTCGAAAGTAATTTATTTTTACAGCTTCTGGTTTCACATGAAATTGTTTGCGCTACTGAGACTGTTATTACAAACTTTTTAAGACATGAAAAGGCATAATGAAAACCATCCCGTCCCCATTCCTCCTCCTCTCTGAGGGACTGGAGGGAAACCGTGCTACAGAGGAACAACTCTAATTAGTATACTTGTGTTTGTAGATTTCCACTTTGTACGGTGTATAACATGGTGTGTTTATTTTTGTATTTGTTCTCTGGTTGGGAGTATGGTGATATGAAGGATCAAGATCCTCAACTCCACTCATAGGCAAACATTAGCCTTTACTCTTTCTCAACCTTTGATATGTAATTTTTATAACTCTCACTTAACTAATTTTTGTAAGCCTGAGATCAATAAGAAGTGTTCAAGAGAGAGAAAGGGAAAAAAAATACACCCCACAATTTATATTTAGAGAGGTAGCAATCAATCTTGCATAGCACAAAGTCTGAAGTTTCAGTTAGTAAACTGAATGGAAAATGGGCCGTGTTTTCCATTCAGTTGCCACAGCTCCAGCCTCTGATCCTGCCAGTATTTGGGCAAGGACAGAGCCCTGTGCTGTAGGAAAGCTTGGCTGAACTTGATTTTAGTCCTCTTTGTCCCCTACAGGACTAACTGCTTGCTAATTTTATGAAGCACAGCTGTGGTGGGAAGAGTTAGGGCCTTGTCTTAAAAATCAATCAAGTGGTGGGTGTGATCTCTTTACGGAGCTATAGATAGAAGTAGCTGGAAAACTAAAGGAAAAATACAAGTGTTTTCAGGGCGTACTTTTTTTTTTTTTTTTTTTTTTTGGGTTGGCTTTTTTTTAAATCCC